AGGATGACGTGCTGCAGCGTTTCTTCGGCCCCGTGTGTGCACAAGGTGCATCGCACGTCAGTGTCTGTGTACTTTGCCCGAAGCACGGGCGTTCGCAGCATGCCTCTTCGGGCATCAAAGAGAAGTCTGCTGCCCCTGCCATGGTTCATAAATTTTATGTTCCTCTCTTCCTGTTTTTTTCTGGTGTGCAAGGCAAGTGCTGGCTTCTGTCCCACCTACTCCGCCCACCGTTGAGTCTCGGTCTCGGTGACTCTCATGCGGATGTTTTCGATATGTTGTTCTGGAGCCGGGTAGAGGAGAGGGCCGCTTATGCGATACCTGAGGGCCAGCTGGCGTTTCCGTCTCGCCCACCTAGTCGAGAGGCTCTTGAGGTGGATGTATTTGAAGGCCTGTCTTCCCCACCGCCCTCCCTGCATTTGGCAGAGGCATCATTCGAAGCCCAGCTTGTCCCGGGCCTCTATCCAAGCTGGACCACCCCATGTACCCCTGCACTGCCTCGTTAGGTGTTCCTCGGGTGCCTCCCAGTGCCGCCCGTCCCATTTCTCTGGCGCACCTCTAGGCAATCACGCTCGCGGGTCGACAGGCACAGAACTCCATTTCCAAAGGTGAGACCTGGCAATGCTACCATCTTCCACACCGCCCGGGTGATCTCGAAATGGTTATAACCCCAGAGGGCTCTGGCGGTTGATGCTCTCTTGGACTTCCTGCTCTTTGCCCGGAGCCTGGTCTCATGGTCTTAGAGGTAGTCTTGGCCCTCCTGGATGTGGATCCCCAGGTGCTTGTATTGTGCTACCCACGGTACTTGTTCTCCCAGGATTTTCAGGTCTTCTGCCTCGGTGTCTCCTCTGTCCCTGTAGCCCATCAATCCCGACTCCTTAGCCCTGAAACTCGGCCCCATTGCCGCCCCCATTGTGTTGCACTCGCTCATGAGGGCCTGCAGGACCTCCAGGGAGTTTGCCATCAGGACGATATCATCAGCATAGATTAGCCCGGGGATTTTTCCCCCCCATTGGTTCCCGCCTCCGTATATTCCAGGGTGAAGTCCTCGGCACACCCATTGGCTCTCAGCATTGCTGAGGCATACCTACAGTTTCTAGACGCACCCAACCAAAGTGTTTTCCATCCTTGGTGGCCAGACTAGCTGTCGAAGTGCGGCTTTTTGCAAACGTCTATAGCTCCAAACAATTTGGTTTCGTAGGTATTGATGTTTTGATGTTGATGTTGCCGGCCTGCAATAATGTGGAGCCTCCTCTGTCGGTGGGGCTTGGGGAGGTCTCTTAATGGAGCGGCTTTCAATGCCGAACGGGAAAAGGTCATTCATGTTGCCGGCATGTTGCGAGCTTTTGGAGGTTCTGACGGGACTTAATGCAAGGTCGAGCCCGAGGTTCAATATATTTCATTCTCTCCGAGCGGAGTGAGGGGTGACCTTGCGTAGTACGGTCTGCTTGGCTGCCTAGCTTGCCGACTGTTTCCTGTTTGATAGCCTATGGCTAATTGAAACAATTGGCAAGCTAGGCTGCCAAACGGACCACACGCTCTGTTCGAATAAAATATGATTTCAGGCTCGAGCTTGCACTAAGCCCCGTCGGAGCGACTAAGGGCTCTTGGCATTGTAGATGCCAAAGTGACAGTTTCTCGCCAAGCGTCGATCGCCGCCTCCCCAAGCCCCGCCGTGGAGGAGTCTCCGCCAATTTGCAGGCCAGCGACATTAATACTCGTGCTTCCATCATACTTTTGGTACATACATGTGGACAATAACACCTATATTTTATTCTGCTCTCACTAGAGCTGATACAGAATAGTGGATGCAGCATCGTCCAAAGTATATGTCCGTTTATTGTAAACCACGTGCTTGCAATGTTGTAAGAAATTAGCAGCACTTGAAACATTTGCAAAAAGGATGAGCCGGCAGTTAGCAGACCTATATAATTTGACAACAGGCATTGCGGTGAGCTCACCGTGGCTGACAACGTTAGCCGTTGATCTACTCTGGTTGAGGAAAGTTATTCATCCACTGGTTCCGAACTCTGTTACAAGGGAGGAACAAGGTTGGTGGGAAAATGTGTTAGCGCACCTTAACTCTGATAATGTAAATGGAAGGTCGTGCTGCAGAACCTCGGGATCGGAGATTTAATTTCCGCCCCTGCCCTTTTGGATCTGGATGAGCATTGTAGTGGCATGTGGTCGTGAATCACTACCGTATGATACTCATTATGGACCCACGTCCACCAAGCTGGTTCGCACAAATACATCGCCGAGTTGTCGCCCCTTCTCCTGGCTGAAGACATTGCTTGTCTGGCGAACACGAATTGTTAAGAGCTGGAAAAACACTCAAACGTCGCCGTGGAGGCGATCATCAAAAAGACCTTTGGGACATCGGGCAAACAAAAATAAAAACGCCACTTCCAGCCTCCTCGGGCCGGAGCTACGCAGAAGGGAGTCCAAACCACGACCCATTACAGAGGAGGTCGTGGTCCCAACATGCGCGTTGTGTTGCTAGACTGTCCTTAGGAAGTCATTAAGTCATTTCCAATTAGAACACCTCATATCTAGTTGTTTCCAGAAATATTGTTCTTGTTTTGTTGCATTCTCTAATTAACAAGGGATCTGGCATACTCCCTCCTCCCCACCCCCTGGGAAAAAAATTTATTCAGAATCAGGTTTTACTCCGAAGTGTAAGCACAACATATTAATACCATGAAAAAAAAAAAATTGTATGAGAAAACAGAAAAAAGTTTATCAAAAGAATCATGTGAACCCCATGGATATGAATCTTTTAGTTGACACAACTTAATTGCACATTCTGAATGCACTAATAGAAGAAAGATGTAAACTCTAATTCAAAAATAAAAATTGAAAAAAAAAAAAGGAAAAATATTTTATTTTTCTAGGATTGATCGTTTTTCAAGACTAGGAACTCCCCTGGAGAGGATATTGCATATGGCTTTTAACTCTTTAGGGATCTTGTACGATTCCAGGTGGCACTGGGCTGCCGTCTTCTCACCCAGTCGTTCTCAGCTAGTCGTGAAAGAGTTTAGTTTTTCCATAAACGAATGAAGAATGTTCGTCCTTTGTGCCACTCATTTTTGGACGCTTGACCTTGAAAGGTCTAGGTCTCGGTGTGTTTTTGCCTTCCCTGCATCTGTGCGACACCTGCTTTGGGATCTCTCTCGACTGTAAGGTCAGGCACGTAGCCGGGGGGGGGGGAGGCATTCCTGAAAATAACTACTGTTTCCACTTGACTTTATCAAATATTCGCCGCTGTTTTTGAAAATAGGCCACGCATCGCCGATTACCCCTGGGCCCCGGGCAATGCGTACCAGTTAAAAAATTCTCTATAGGGGAATGAAAGGGCATCATGAAAGATTCTGTTAAAATACTTGTACTTTACAAGTACATTGTATTTATAGTACTTTAAGTATGTTGCACTGAGTGTACTCAATACTTTACTTAAAGTACATCACGTCTCATTTACTTACTACTTTACTTGAAGTACCTTTTAGATGTACTTGACCCAACACTGATTTTGTCATGGGCGGGCTGGGGTGCTATGTTGCGCTTTTTGCACTCCCAGGAGACTTGGAAGAGGGAAGTGACGTCAATGACACAGCAAATGCAGATTGGATGTTGACAGAAGAAAACGAAATCAACACCCAATCTGCGTTTGCTGTGTCGTTGACGTCACTTCCCTCTCCCTAGTCTCCTGGGAGTGCAAAAAGCGCAACATAGCCCCCCTGCCCCCGGAAACCAAAACCTTGCTGCGTGCCTGAAGCGAAGAGTGGTTACAGCCGAATATTTTCGAACCGGATAGGCTGTTCTAAGCATTTACTACTATGCACCGTGCTTCAATGAAAATCTAAGTGAACTCGTGAAGGTTTTTCTAACCTTCCACTCATTGTTCTAAGCTCAATTAATTTTAACATAACTACATTTCTCAACTGTGGCATGTAAACGGCAAGTTTATTACGGCTATCCTAATCACGGGGATTTATAAATCTGCCTGCTATATGCAAATAGTCTTTCTTTAATTTTAAATGTAAAAAAAAAAAAAAAAAAGATGTTGGGCATGCTGCCCAACATCTGCATAATCGCAGCAAGTTGACCCCGTTGAGTGCACTTCTCACCGAGCACTTGTGCCATAGAGATCATATACTAACTCTAGAGGAAAAGGTCCGCCATTTTCCCATACATTCTGGCTGCCGCAAGCGGCGGACCATGCAGGCAGACCCTCGGGGTCCCAAACACGGTTACATCATCAGAGCAGTTTCGTGAACTTCAACAATCCACGAACTTACCGGTGGAAAGATATTCGCGTTCCTTTCGAAGCTTTCTTTTTGCATAGCGCGCAGATGTACGGCCTCGCGTTAACGCTAAACTAAACCACATACCCGGCTTCGCTGGTGGGGCGCGGCTGGGCGCGGTTGAGGAATACGAAACTGCGCAACCACCAGATTTCCGAGATTTCGACAGAAGGGAAGTTAATGTCTATGGTTAATGCAGCGTAATGACTTTATTGCTTTTTATAAGCGTTAGAATAGCTCAAAATTTAGTTTACAACGTTAAATTATCACTGTTTATATTGCAGAGAGTTTTCACTCTTCGCGTTTACCATGGCAACGTTGCTTTCTTTCTCTTTAGTTCTGTCGCTCTCTTTTGCGATCGTTCACTCGGGACCCCGGGTGTCGGCGCACGGGATTTGCCACTCCTCCTCACCCACCCTTACCCCCCCCTGCCCCCCGATCGTGGAGGGTAGCATGAGTAACTACTCCGGAGTAAACAACTCGCTTCTGGAACGCGAGTTCTGACGTCACCGAGTAAGCGCAAGTAAGCTTTGAAACGCAAACGCCACTCTACTGACTCTACCACTGCACTCCGGAGTCGGATCGAGTAAATTTTGGAACACGCAGCCAACACAGCCAAGCCCAAGCCAGCCATAACAACTTGACTTTCAGCCTTTCAGCAACAAACCAGTAGCACGGCTGGCACGGCCACGGCGCAGCGCACAGGCACAGCGGCGGCAGCGCAGCAGCGATTCGCAGTGTCCGGATGTGAAGGTGAGGTCGGTTTCGCGTTCAGAGACTTGTCGACTGCCTATTCAACAAGCACGTACTGTTGCCAAGACTGAATCGTTTGGTGCGTGTTAGCTTTGAAACTTCACGAGGCCCCGCTCACGGTCATGAGTTCATGTGACAGGCTGCTACCACGTCCACTTTTCGCGCTTTTGCGCAAGATTGGCGTCCCCTAAAGCCAAGAAAACAACGCTCTCGCCTGTTTTTCTTTTTTTTTTTTTTTTTTTTTTTAGCAGTAAACGTTTTAACCAAAATTAAAAAAAAAAAAAAAAAAAAAAAAGATTTGAAAGGGTTTCAAATTTGGCGGAGGCGCTGGGTTTTGCTGGCGATAATGGAGGAAAACATTATCACAGTCACAAAGGCGAGGTTAAAGTATTGGTGGAAATTATCTAGCGAAAATTTAAAAGATCGAGGTACACCTAATAGTCCCTTTCCCTGGCAAATGCCGAGCGCTCCGCGCTAGCGGTCGTCGAGCGGTCGGCCGTCGTGAGCGATCGGTCACGTGATCCATCCCAGTGGCCCGCGCTGCGGAGCAAATCGAGCGTAGGGAGGCTCAAGTGAGGGTGGGTGCAACTGCTAGATCGGGGATCACGGGATGTGGACGCCATTTAATTGCTAAAATTTGCTGGGAGTCTATGGGGCAAAGGGTCGTTTAATTTCCTAACTCGGGTCATAAAAGCCCATTAAGGTGCTTGAATAATTTACACAAGGTATAAATGATTACTTTTCCATAGCCACCAGGTTTGTTGCGATAGGTTAAGTATTTTTTTAACGCGAAAAATGGTAAATTCCGCCATCTTGGACGTTGCTGCTTGTCTGGCAACCCTGCTTTCTCCTCTCGTCGTTTGCAATTCTCGGAGCGAGAAGGAAGCGAGAGAGGCTGCGCCAAGGCGTTCGTTGCTTGCAATGAGAGGCGAGAGGAGGAAAGGCGCACGGAGCAACAGAGTTGCAACAGAGCGGGCGTCTACTCGTGCAGGCAACATTGGCGCATAACCTTTCCTGAATCCTCTCCCTCAGGCGCCGCCATTAAATTGCAAACGCTCTCCAGGTTTTGAGTTGCGCCCACCCTCACTAGAGCCTCCCTAATCGAGCGTAACGCTCCCAGCGCCACCGCTTCCAGAGCGTCTGCTCTCGCTTTTTAATAGTTTCAGTTCCCATTGCTATCTTGCCGAAAGCATGAAGTTTTTATCGGAACTTTATGCTCGCACGCCCTCCATACTCCTCTTCTTTTTAAGTGCAATAAAGTATGAAGTATGAAGTATGCTTTGACAAAAAAATTGATTGTTTACTACTTGATGAACGGTGACCCCGATGTTACGACACAGTTTATTTTTCCTTACAGTTATATGAGCCTGATGAAGACAACTAGAAGTACTACGAGCCGTAGGATGCTATTAAGCAATACCAAACACGTATGCCGTAAAGCGATCGTCATCTCCGAGGCGACTTCCATGTGCGGAGTATTTGGCGTGTTGCCTTCTAATTATTCCAATTACATTACAGAGACCACAAAACGAACAAACGACATACCTAGCTCTTCATCCGAATAGGCGCGCACAACGCCTTCGACGTAACGCAATATCTTGGGCCCCTTCGCTGGCCAGGCAAATGACTCGGCGAACACTTCGCCGAGAACGGCTGCCTTGTCGTCACTCGAGCTGGAGCTAAGCTGGTATCTTTGTCGCTGTCACTGCGTTTTATTAGACCTCCTGAAATTAACTGCAATGATGTCATTGCCGCAGTATGCTCGGGCGAGTCAGTCATGATGAGGGGAACGAAAGCAAGCACAGCAAGAAAGCCCACCCTGCAATCGAAACAAAAAAGCTGCAAAACTCCTTCGCTCCCCCACGGGAGTGTTGATATGAAACTGAAATGTTGTGAGTGACAACTACAGATAGTACTCCTCTAAAAATGTTTGCGCGGAAAACTACCTCGGACCGCTCGACGCGCTCTGCCACTTTTCCACGGAGCGGTTGGAGCCGCTTGGCGAGCGCCCCACTGGCTCCAGATCTACTAGCGGCACACGGAGAGATTACTCTCATCTCGCGAGGGAAACAAGAATCCGTTCGGCGAGTGCACGCCGAGCGCTCGCTATTTGCCGGGGAAAGCATGCAAGCAATTCGTCCGCTCCCTTTCTCGTCTGCTGCGCACTTTTCGTTGCCGGTCGGCGCGTGTGCTCCCCTCGTGACCTTGGACACTCCACGCTGATGGACACTCAGCGCCATGGGGTGAGCGGTCATGGAAACTGACGAGCTCAGCAGCCAATGAGAGGCCTGTTGACGCGCGCCAGCCAATGGAACTGAAGGAAACTATCTGCCGTGTTTGCGCTTCAGACTGATGACGTCAGCTCGCTCCATGAGACTTTGCATTAACAAAGTAAATCTTAACTTGCACAGCTGGGTACAGGCGAGACGGGGAAAAATTGGGACTCCCTCCCGCGTGGCTCTGCCCACAACTCTCAACCCCGTCTTCCAGTGGGTTTAGTGTTGGTGGTTTGCATAACGCCTGCAATTAAGGAATTGACCAGAGGAAAATTGGCAACTCTCGCTGGAGGAAAAGGCATTTGCAGTTTCTTTTCCCTATACCCCAAAGGTCATCCTGGCAATTTCCTACACTGCCTGGTGGTAGTTACAAAAAGGCCGAGGGGAAAGAAAATTGGCTCAGAACGACAAGGGAAGGCATCATACTTTTGGTTCTTTTGGGGTTTTAGAGTAAGTGGCGCATGCTACCCATCATTATAAAGGGCACAGCTGTCGGCATCCATTCACTCATCCAACAAATATATAATTAGTCGCTGGGAGGTGCTTCAGTGGTCCCACTTCTAGCTTCCTAACCTCGGTCACACTTTTTATTCTCGTGAACCTCGAGTGTGTGCGTGCAGGTGAAGCAGGGCGAAAGGCAATGAGCACTGCGAAGGGCCGGGCATCTGAAAGTGCCGTCTCGCCATTCTCACCTGTTCACTGACTATAATAATAATTTTTATTGGCGAACATGAAGGTACTCTGGATGGCTCGCGAGACATTGGCTGCAAATATTTGCCACCCACTTTCAGCGTCTTTCGTGACTTCAACTTGGTGTTGTGAGCTGCAAGGCACGTCATCGGGCTTCAATCTTTGCTGCCTGATGCCTTGCCTGAAATGAAAGCTGCAAACTTTGGCTCGGTTGCCCGAAACTCGTGGCCGTATCCCCGAGCCTAGATTTCTGGAAACCAGCAGTAAAAAGGAGTCAACAAGATGCTCAGAATCTGCATAATATCACAGATTGCTCTTTTTAATGAGAAAGCATTAACTTGGGGTCCCATGGATCAGCCGTGGCAAACGGCACCTAAATTCCCCTTTCCCAAAGTAGCGAATTGAAGCCGCGACCTGAGGCATCCCAGCTTTGAAGCTGCGCAAAAAGCCTCGCACAAAAACAGTGAAATTAAGCCAAAATTTAATGGATAGGGCTGTAGACCGTCAGTTTCAAGGAGATCCACCCCATGGCGCTACGTACCGTACCAGAGCGCGCCGGGAGAAGGAGGCGGTTGGCTGGCCGGGTCGCCCACTGCAGCATACCCTGGAGCGGCTGTACGTCGATGTCAGCGCAGCGCTCTGACTTCATGAGAACGCGCGCAAGAACGACATTCATGCTTTCGCATTCACAACTCGTAGGAAGTGCTAAGGTGTACCTCGAGCCTTCTTATTATTGTTTCTTGTGCAAAGTTATACCGTAATATCCCGGAAGATTGCTCACCTAAAGTCAAAATCAAATCGAGTGAAAATAAGGGGTTGACTAACTTTACCTAGGTATGCGATCGAAAGAAGTTGAAAAAATGTTAATTCTAGATTTTGTTACCTAAGAAACCTGTAGTCGCAATGAGGGTCGATGAATCAAAGACAACTCTGCTTCCCAGTCAGCTATGTTCACTTATCTCCCGCCGTGGCTAAGTAACACCATTTTTGCTTAGGTCACCCTTGGCCAGGGCCCTGCAATAACTAGAAGCGAGCTATCTTTGTGTTTCTTTTAAGAAATAGCAAAGCGTGGCCGAAAATAAGGGGCGGGTCATCTTTCGGGGGTTACGGTAAACTTTTTCACCCTCCGTGTCATGGGTACTGCCATCGTGGAATCACATGATGCCGACCAGGCACGTAGCTAGGGGGGGGGGACCCCTGGGGCCCTGCCCCTCCCCGAAATCTTTTGTTTGGCTGGGACCTCCTCTCCCCCCTCCCCTTTGGGGCCAGATAAGCGAGGACCTTGTCCCGGCTCATCCAGCTCCAACATGCAGCAACAAAAGGAGTCCCTCCAAGTTAAGAGTGGGAGAGGGGAAACTGGGAAGGGTGGCGAAAAGGGTTTTCATTCTGGTTGAAAAATATTTTGCAGGTCGGTCTTTAAGGAAGGTGACGAAAAATAACCAGCATGAAGAGACTGTGTTTTCCAAAAGCATTGTCCTTTCTATTGATAATTAGATTGAAAGCAGTTGCTTTTGACTATGGGAGAACTCATAGATAAAAAGATGGGTAACAACTGTTTAACTTGGCTTTTATTTGATGAGAGAAATAATGGCAAGTCAACATCAGGTGATTTGTTTGTAATACCTCACCTATTTGTGTTCGACGTTCTGGATCATTTTTGCAATATACTATATATTTGCTTTGTTGGTTTAGGAATTTAGAAAAACTGTGGAACGTGTTTGGTCCCATGTCTCCAGCCTTTCTAGTGATTGGATGATTTTCACAACCTTAACCAGTTGAATTCACTTAATTTATTTCAAGACAAAAGATGCATCTTCCCACATAAGAAAGTGTCACAGAGAGCTTGAGAGTGTCCGGGGTTTGCAACCTGTGATGCTGAAAAGAAGCCATTTACCATAAAACACTGCAGAAGCCACCGTTTCATTCAAACGCCCACTATTAACATTTCCCAAGTTAACCGTTCAATTTGACCGAACAAGCACCCATGTCTAGATTTATGTATTTATTTACTCTCAAGGCCAAGGCAGCAAAAAAATAAGTAAAGCAAAAAAAAAAAAAACACGTCAACATAAACACAACAGCAGGGTTTCTAGAGCAGAAGTTTCAGGATGGGACTAAAGAAAAGTTTTGCCGTAGATAACCGAGTGAACGATTTGCGTTACTTGTGATGCGGTCCACATGATTTTGCCGATTACGGTTATCAAAAATCGTAATGCCTATTGTCGGTTACAAGTCAAGAAGGTAGGAGAGGCTCCTTCCATAAGCGTGATGCGCCTGTTTCAAATCCATCCACAGTCGAAAAAATAGTTCCCTGGAAACGCCCCTTGTTCCGCTTCAGTGAATAGATATTGGCTACAGAGTAATGCCAACTTGTCTCCGACCCCCACTTTTTAAGAAAGCGACCTTTGTATTTATCGGAGAGGGAACCAAGCCCCTGAAAGTGGCCTTTGTATCCATCGGAGGGGGAACCTAACCCCCCAAAGTCGCGTTTGTTTCCATCGGAGGGGGAAAATTCTAATCTCCCTCTCGTGGCTTCCACAATGCTAAGTGAAAGTCGAAATATAAAGCAAATATTTACAGGAAGGCAAAACCCCTTCCTGCGTTGGTCACGACGTCACGGAAACGATGGGACGCTATTGGATGCGGAGGTGGCGGAGGGATATATGAATCCCTTTTGAGGGGCATTTGCCGCTACCTTCTTGACCTGTAACTCACTATAGATACTTGTAGGTACTTGCATTGTTAAGTAGTCAACACGGTAACATGTACGTGACTGGAATGACGTGAAATTCTTATAGACTTGCATTTGGTAGCGATAAGTTTCATTAGCCAGGTACCATACCAAGATGAAATGTTATCTAGGTCAGACTGAAGGGCAGAACGATCACCAAGATCCAGCATTTGGTGATAAATATTGCAATCATCAGCAAAAAGATTTATAGATGAAGAAAGGCTGTTAGCTAGGTCATTAATATAAAAAAAAAAAAAGCAAGGGCCCAAGCACTGACCCCTGCAAGACACAGGATGTTACGGGGCAGTGAGGGGAGTTATGATTGTTGCCAGTTACAAACTGCGTGTGATTAGACAAAAAGCATTCTATCCATTCTAAATATAAGGGTCAATGTTAAGCTTGCTTAGTTTACAGAAGAGTAGACAATGAGAGCCAGTGTCGAATGCTCTAGAAAAGTCAATGAAAATGCAGTCAACGGTGGTTGAACAATCCATAGCAGTCAATAAGTCCTTAGTAAAGGCAAGTAGTTGAGTCTCACAAAGGTAATTTTTCCTGAAGCCGTGTTGATGAGTACTGAAAAAAGAATTAGTTTCGAGGACGGACACAATGTGACGGTAAATGACATGCTTCATGAGTTTGTACGGTATGCTTGTTAATGAAATGGGTCTATAAATATTGGGACAATGGGTGTTACCTGACCTAGGATTAACCCAGTTTTCAACGAAAATTAGGGGGGGGTGCTTCCCTGGTATTCAATGTTACATGAAAATCGTCCGAGTGCAGCATTGTCGATGACAAATAGAGATCTACTTTCAGTCGCTCGCGACACCGAAATCTACAAAGCGCATCTGTTGAAACAAATGTATATCTGCCTATACAGGCCCATGAAGCACTGTCTGACGTTAGACTTCTGCCAAATTTGCTGATATGACTTTTCTTACGCCATTTCATTTTACTTGTAAAATGAAAGACAAATGGCAGACTTGATTTCACTGATCTGTCAATATCTTAAATATGTCGCAAGCAGCTGTCCATATAACAAATAGTTTATTCAAGACCAATATTATGAAATGTTATTGATGAGTACTTTAACGGGGCCGATAATAAACAAGCCCGATAAAGAAATTTCCTAATCAGACTTGGTCAAAGTGTCGAAATATTTCTCGAATACCACTTAATTTCTTTAAAGGAAAGAGGTCAAGACAATGTTGGTTCTTTTGTATAGATAGTGTGCGTCATTATACAATGCTTTTCTAGTCTGCAAAGTTCACAAAAAGATAGTGTCGATGAAAACCACAGTTAGTAGTTAACTTGCAAGATCATCCGTTTTTCATGATTCAGCACACTGTTCATCAGGCTGTCGACCTGCTTCTGCATTATACATTCATGTATTAGTATCCTCCCAGCGACTTCCAGGAGTTCATTGATTTTAAAATATCGACATTTATCGAAGCAACACTTGCGTGCAAATTTTGTAGTGGAACAAATTAGTATTGTCAATGGAAATGGCACCAACGCGAAATCCGGCTGAAGAAATATTAATTTATACACACCACGTTATCTTGAATCAAGCATGCATAGAGCACACAAATATTATATATCTTTTTTTTTGAGAAATATAAAACTCTGCAAAATTAAATTTCACACTTTGGAGAATTAGGAATAAGCTCTATATTTTGAGCAAAAAATAAACTTCAAAAAACGCCCTCCGAATGTGACCGAAATAACTCCGAAAACACGGAATCCTAGCTATAAGGGACACTTGGGCTTTGTTCTAAATCTTACCCAAATGGATCCGAGTTACTCCGGCGGGTCGTGTCACGTGACATCACAGATTGAAAAGCGCTGGATGCGGGTAGGTTTTGAAACGCCTAGGTACAAAACCCTTACCCTGGGGTAAGATCGAGTAAATTTTGGAACACGGCCTTGGTATAGCAAAATTAAGCTAAAACGGCGACACTGCCGCTTGCGCATTGAAACCGAAACTAGCCAAACTGAACCAACCTAATGGCGTAGAGTGTGTTTGCGCCATCTATTCGTCATTGAGGCAACTACTGAGATGAAAGGGTCATTACATGGCATGCATTGATGTTGCATCAGCTGCCGAATTTCTGGTCTTCTTGCTGACCATGCACTTTGTGCAATATTACTTTTGTAACAACGGATTTGTTATTCTCGGCGAGAACCTGTGTGAGTGACCACCGGCACCGCATGATAATGTTATTTGCAGGGTGTCCCCTCAAAAAATACGCAAGGTATTACTGTGTCGCCGAATGCACAATCTCATCCAGATGAAGCACTAGTGGTCCACACCGAATGCCGAAGTTTAAGAGCTATTATCTTATTCAAGAGTAAGTCATTATCTGAAATTTTCAATGGGAAAGTGGCAGCCGGTGGATCGCTCGAATACGTTGAGCTGAATGGTGCCAGTAACCGAGTACAGACCCCCTGTTCCCATTGAAATTTTGAGGAAAGCAATCTTTTTAATGAGATAGCGGTTAGTTCTGAAACTGGCATCTGGTTCAAACCATTAGCTCTACATTTGAGCAGAGAGTGAGCGTTTGGCGATGCATCATTTATTCCTGCGGTGAAATAAAAAAAAAGCTGTAAATTCTTTTGGGAAGCTGTATAGTATAAGGATTACTAGGTGCAATGACCAGGTTTTGCGTGGTTTGCATTTCAGATCCGTAAACGTTGAACACTCGTCAGTGAAGCTTGGGCCATACTTCTGATGTCTTTGAGTGCACCGTGACGTCTTCTCTCCTGCTTGCGTGAGACCTGGTGCAGTGATGCGGATGCAGCATCTTCCATGGTGTATGTCACTCCATTCCAAACTATATAGGAGTCTTTTAAGAGGAGATCTGAGTAAAAAGACTGCAATATTTTGCAACAAAAATGGATTTTGGGGTTTATGGTGTTTCAGTTATCTTCATATTTCATTATAAAAATAGTAAGGACTGGTTATAATCGCAAAATTAGTCACATGTGCATTGGAAGAACAGGCTACCCAGAACAGCATAAATCTAAGTCATTTTTGTGCGCTCGTTTCTTCCAATTGCGACGTCGCCCGCCTCAGTGTTGAGAAGTGGACCGCCTAGCCATCTCCTCTCCAACATACGCTTCTGTAGGTTCAATTGCTCACCTAAATCTATTAGGAAAAAATTATTTTTCCTGCCACGAAAGTGTTGATACACATCTATGATAACATTTGAAAGTGTGTTTCTCTTTATGTAATTTTTGTCGCATCTTCACAAAACTTGCACAGGAGAATGTTTGTTTTCAATAATGTCTTATACCAAATTTGGCAAGCATGTACTTTAGAATATGTAGATTACAACTATCTAGGTTTGACTAGGATGTTTATTTTTTATATTTATGAAAAAATTGAGAAACCTTAGTTAGCCCTTTGCAACTGGCATTTTCAGAGTTTTCATTTTTAAAATAAGTCTAGTACATAATATTTTTATTGCTCATTGTTCTCAGTGGTTTAAAAACAGCAAATTGTTTAATATTACTGAGCTCCTTTAACGCTTGACCCTCAAAATATTTTTCATCCAGGGTGAGATTATCCTCGCCACCCTGCCCATTCCCCCTCTCCCACTTCTAACTTGACTGCAGGGCACTCCTTTTGTTGCTGCATCTTGGGGCCGGACAAGCCGGAAACTTCTCCCCGCTCATCCAGCAACAAAAGGGGTGCCCCCCTCCCCCCTCGCCGCCATCAAGCTAAAAGTGGGAGAAGTGAAATAGAAAAGGTGGCGATAAGGATTTTCACCCTGGTTGAAAAGTATTTTGTAGGTCGGCCTTTGGAGGGACACTGACACCCCTCAAAAATTTAGCTTTTAATTTTTCTGCAGGCGATTTATTGTGGTGTCACAAGACTAAGCATCACATATATTTTTAATTAAGTAAAAAATTGCAACAACTCGAAACCGAAAATAAAAACCCTTGCAAGCATAAATACCTTCTCAGTGCCCTTTTTACTGTGTTGCCATGACCCATGTGTGTGCGAGAACATGTTTTTTCCTGCATGTGCATAGCATCTAGAACATAAAAAAAGCTATATCAAAATTAACGCAAGATTTAAATAAAAGAAAGGACAACAAACAGTATAAACTGTGAAAGGTGAATTCAGTGATAATATATAATAATAAAAATAGTTTTCCCTGGGTGCATTTTCTTTTAAGCATTTAGCAACACTCAAACATTTTTATGGAAAGGGGAACTTGACGGCTTTCCTGAATGTGTAGATTCCAGAATCCCGCGGTTTATTCGAATTTATAAAACAAATTTAGCAAAAATATGGAAATAACTAATGGGTTCCAGAGATATAGTTATCTCAGATTTTGTATCCTGCAAGTTCTGACTCTTTTAACTGATCATATTTTTACCATACTGGCAGTGCAAAAAGTAACAGGCTTTAAGATACCTTCCAACTTCAAGTCAGGTGGCACAAGCTACCTCCCATTACTAAACACGCAGGCATTCCATTTTCTCATCCATTCGTCATTGTTGTCTTGAAATGGCAACACTCTTGGTGTGTCTCGTCTGTGTTATTCTCATAACTGTCTGAGTAGCTTGATGTGCTTGGAGGGTGTGTTCGCTTTGCTCATTACTGTCATTGTTCATTCCGTTTGGTCCCTAGCATCTCAAGTGGTCCCTTGCGTCCCTCCGTGATCTTACGAAACTCTTCACGAACCTGACCTTGGGCAGCAATTTGAATGGATCCGGTTCAGTCCTCAAGTCATGGTGAATTTCTTTTGTTTTCACCTCTTTTATAAATAGAGGACAGTTACTTGTTTCTACGTCTAATAAATGAAGGACAGTTAGGATGTCTAGACTAGCCGGCCATACGCTAGCGCAGTGCTTCTTGTACAACTCTCCACAGACTCCTAGGGATCTGCGCCAATTCGGAGAGACTTCACCAGCAACGCAACCTCTGGGGAGCTAAGAACCCCGATGAAAACATGCAGGGTGATATCAGTTTTTTTTTGGAGGGGAGGGAGGCAAGCAGCAAAATTGAATTTGAGGAGAGTTTCTTGGCGACCGCAAATGAATGTGTGTCATAATAAATGTTGGCCTCCTATACACGAGGGGTGTGGACATAGAATAGAGGAAGTGGGCTGTTTAACAGGTGCTGGGCTAATGATGGAAAAGGATGAAGACAGAAAGTCTGTTATGAAGGCAGTGAAGGAAGCTGACCGAGAAATGAGGGAGATGAGAATGGGGTAATGGAAGCCTGCTATGCAGAAAAATTGGGATTACGAAAAGATAATTTTTTTGACAAATTAAAAGTAGGTTTTGCTGTTACGGTGAAGAGTGGCGTACTGAGAACCAGGGCTTAAAGGTCAAGATGTGTGGGTACATATACAAATTTTACACAATGGGTATAGGTGAAGGTAACAGCAGAGCATGCAGGTATGGTAAGTCTGGTACATACCTAGAGTGAGGCAGACTTTTTCATTGTTTTGGGATTAGAGGGGTTCATGAAGGAATGGGGCATTTCCAAGAGATGAAGCGAACTAAGAGATAGCTGGAGAAATGGAGGGACAGGATCAGGGAGGTGGTAGAAATTAACAGTAAGACGAGGAGTGAATTAATTTAGTGATACTTTGGGCAGAGCGGATCGAGGATTGGCTCAAACCAAAGTGCCGCACCCTATTTATTCATCCGTCCAAGATAAAAAAAATTGTCACGGGAAAGAGTTTTACATCTTAATTTCTGACAATGCTGATTTGCTGGTTTCCAGTAAGCCATCTTCCATTTCCAGCTAGTTCCCTCCAAGACCAAAATAAACTATGGGTAGCACTTGTCAAATGGTAATACAGTAGAACCTCGTTGATACGTTTTTCAGGGGACCGCGGAAAAAAAGCGTATCAACCGGGAAAGCGCAGCAACCGATAACGCACTTAAAGGCACTCTATATAAGATAGAAAGCAGCTCTTATGCAATGGTTTATTTTATGCACTTACCGAGCTCTTTTGGACTCAGACACGTTCACAAAAACGCGTAATATCCACCTGCCGCTTCGAATTAATGGTATGCAGTAAAAGTCGTTTCTCCAGAAGCCGCAGTCCCCTCTCACTCTCCGCGCAGTCATGAACGTTTACGTAGCGGCGCAAGGCGTCCAACGCAGCGATCGCGTCCGCAAACGTGGGTGCAGCGTAATCGTTGGTTTTTTGTTCGTCTTCTTCATCACTTTCTTCGTTGTCGGCAGTAGTGAGGTCGGCCCCAATGTCCGCTATGCTCGATATCCGAACGATCAGCAATCTCTTGCGCCTTCTCTCGCAGAATGCCTCCGTCGATGTTGACACAAGATGCCCGGGCTTGTTTGAACCATACCAACAGGGCCTCCTCTAACTTTGCGTGTTTTGCCCCCCGAGCCTGTTTAAAGCCTGGTTGGTAGAAAGGAGCCTTCGCCTCGATCTCCTTTCGTCTCGCGACGATACTGTTTAAAGTTGACGGCGCGAGTCCAAGCTCTCTTGCGACCTCAGACCTCTTCCGGCTGGGATTTCGATCCACCGTGCGAAGTATGTCAAACTTCTCTTTAAAAGAGAGTGCTTTTCTCTTTCGGGATGTCATGGCCTTCGTCAACGCGCACGCACTCAGAAACGGCACTGTTCACGCAGTCGAGCTGTCGAGCGTGTCGAGCGGAACAGAAACTGGAAGTGCAGCGGTGCAGCGTCCCGGCGTGTGTGCGGCCAAAGCCGCCTGTATACTCTGTGCCTGGCAGACGGAGGGGAGAACAATAGCGGGCGCCGTCGAAAAAGTCGCGCGCCACCACCGCCCCCGATCGTGGGGGCGCCACCAACGTTGCCGCCGTAGCAGACGACGCGAAAGGCGCAACCCGTTTAGAAGCGCTGGCAAGCCATGCCAAAATGTTTAAAACACGAGTTTTAGCTCCCTCGGGCATACGGCGAGTGTAGCTACACGATCTGCACGCGCTCGCTTTGCGTGTAAGAAAGATTCGAAGTAAATAAAAAAAAAAAAGTACCAACGAACGCGCGTGCAACATTCTATTTCATCTAGAACTTTTCTTTAAAAAATTACTGGTGCTGACGCCAGCACGTGCTGCGCGCGTACTTACAGTCCCCGCATGCACCTATACTTCGTTTCACCTTATGTGCGAGCGAAGGCAAAGCTGGAAGCGCGAGCACGGAAGCTCCGTGCGTTCAGGCTTTGCTCGAGCGCGCAAGCTTGAGAGAAACACACAAACGCGCTGGTCTCGCGCTTCCAGCTTTGGCTTCGCTCACAGATAAATTGAAACGAAGTATAGAAGCTTGGGTAATTTAGCACAGCATCCTTTTGAGCCGGGTTCTTTCCGTTTAGTTCTGAGCAAGGCTCTTGTGTAAGCTCTGCGTTTTTACAACCGCAAAAATATGCCAGAACGAAACGAAGTCAAAGCGTGCCGCTATCTTCGGGTGCCGTCAAGTAATCATATTTGAAGTTAACAAGTGAGAGCATGCAGCCCTTGCAATAGTTAATACTTGTTGAGAGAAACTACATGACAGGTCATTTTCGGATTTTTCGCGCACCAAGATCACGAAGTTTAAGCAGTGCGCATGAGGCAATGGTTCTTTGAACTACGCGCACATGCGTCTATAAGTGAATTTATTCATTTATTTATTTATTTAAAATACCCTCAAGGTAATAATACATTGAAGAGGGGAGTGGACATCAAAATAATAATTACAATGTGCACGTGTTAGTAAGAACTCTCTTAAACAGAACAATATCAGTAATATTATGTATTGAGACGGGAAGGTGGTTTCAATCTAATGATGTTTGGGGAATAAAAGAATATTGAAACAACGGAGTTTTAAAATTTGATATACCAACTTTATGACTATGATCAATGCGAGCAGAGATATAGAATGGTGGGATAATTAGTTTACGATGAAGGTCAGCATTTTGATGAAATATTTTATTCAAAAAACACAAGCGAAAGATTTTACAGCGATGCGTTAGTAATGGCAGACCTAAATAGGTTTTTATGCTTAAAGTAAGTATAAAACAAATGTAGTTCTGAATTCCTCTAGCATTCCCTTTTTGGTTTTCTTTGAATACTTGTAACAGAAAACAGAAGTGTATGAATCGGCAGTTGGAATATTTTAAATTGCTCTATTTATCCCTCAATTACTGCATGGGTTTGAATTCAATAGTTCATAATTCAAAATGCAATGTTTTTATTTTTATTGGCTCGAGCAGTATGTTTTCAATGGACGAAGAAACGCAGTACGGGTATCCGATTCTAACTCTTGGCCAACACGAAAAGCAGCAGAGCGGAGAACGATCGGGAAGAGAAAACAACACGTTTTTCTAGGCGTGAACGCAAGACTTTCCGACGGGAAGAACCCGACGCAACACGCAGCTCCACACACGCCGCTGCCGAACGACGCCGATCCCCAACGTGCGTGACGCCGTCTCGCGGCTGACACGGGCGATAGGAGAGGAGGGGGTGAGTGAGGGAAAGGAGGAAACACGACGGCCTCGAGGCGCGCTTCTGACAGGCACAGAGTATACAGGCGGCTTTGGTGCGGCGCGTAAACAACTCGCGCCGGAGAGAGAGGACAGATGAAAAGAAAGAGCAAGAGAGAACGAGCGTTTTCGCAGAGCTCAGCAAAGCCCAGTGAGGAAACCGGGAAAGAGGGGGAAAGGAGTAAAGGGAAGGGGGGCGCCCGCGTGCCGCCGCCGCGCGGCCGCGCGATCCGCGCTGCGTGGTTCGGCTCTGCTTCGCTGGCTTCGCTTCGCTTCAAGCCGGCGTGGCACCTTGGCGCACGGCGCGCCGAGGCGCCGCGATTCCGGCACTTTTGGACGTAACAGCCGGGAAAGCAAACGTAACAGGCAGGAAACTAATACATGTATCTCTATGGAAGTAAAACGGGACCGGCGTTTTTCAACGCAACGGACAGGAAAACGTATCAACCAAGAACGTATCAACGAGGTTCTACTGTAGTGACCATTACCCAGGGTGCAACTGCCCTTGTTGGCTGATGGCCATTACGTTGAAAAAGGCAGAGCTTGCTGCCTCTGTAGGTGGAATGAGCCGAAATGACCTCAAGTTAGTTGCCGTGTGGTGCTCAAAGTGGGGCAAGTATGCTGTGTTACCATGAGTTGCACCATAGCCCCTTAGATCTTTCCATGCCTGCCTGTTGCCTCCAAGATGATAGGGCGCCAACTGTTGGGGGGGGGGGGGGGAGGCAAGGTGTCTAGTTCTGGCACTCACCATCAAGCGGAGCTGCCTTTTTGGAGTGCCCCCGGTGCCGCTGCAGCTTTGCGCACGTAGTGCAGGACGAGAATATGCAGCAATGTGCGGTCAAGCAGTGGGACATGGTTTTTCAGGGTCACAACACTTTGGTCTTTAACATCCCACAAAGAATCCATTGCCGTCCTTCCTACATCAGTTTGGAAGGTGGTGCAGGTGGCGCTAGTAGGCGGTTAACACCCCTCCCCCCCCTAAGTGAAGTTTTATTTTTTTCATGGTCCTGGAGAGTACCGCCGAAGAGGTCGCTCGATTCTTAAGCTCCTCCTTAAAATAGCGGGACTCTCCTCGACCAAGGCAGGGGTTTGTTACGGGCATGTTTCCCCTGATGGTGTCGGCTGCTGCTTAGGTTCGGCTTCACTTGGTGTGGTATTTTCCATCGGTAGCGGCAGCTCGGGATGCTGTTGAGGGACGACCTCTGGCTGGGGTGAAGGATGCATGGGGTTCAGACGAAGGTGATCTCCATGTCTATGCCAGGACGTTCCAT